TAAATGTTTATGAAAATTAATAAAATATAATTATAGAAAAAAAAAGAATCTTGATCTTTAGAAATACAAACCAAAACCACAGTGAGATATCATCTTAACTCAGCAATAATATCAAAATTTAAAAAAAAAACAAATAGAAAATATACACTGGTGAGAGCATGGAGAGATCAGAACTTTCATACACTGCTGGTGGTTCAGCCACTGTGGAAAATAGCATGTGTTTGTTGCTAGGAGCTTTTAAGTTAAGACAAACATGAACAAATATGAACTATGTGACCCTATGAACCACCAATCTGAATCCTGTCCTATCCTGTGCCATCCACAACATTTCTGACATACTTGAGCACATTGCTGCAGTCAATCCCTATCAGGGTCTTCCCCTCTTTAAATGAACCTCCATATTTCCAAGCATGATGTCTCTCTTTTCAAATAGCCTTTCCCAGCAACATGCCAAAATATGAGGGGAAGCTCCAATATCTTTGCTTCCAATTTTTTTCTGGTAGTCCAAGAGATATTCAGTACTCATTTCTGATACCACAATTCAAAGGCATTGATGATTCTTTTGCTATCCTTATTCAATGCCCAGCTCTCAGATTCACTGCAAGTGACTGAAAAGACCATGGCCTGAATCAGGCACAGGTTAGTCTTCAACCTAATATCATTGCTCATTAGTTTGGAGAGGTTGCTGACAGCAGACTTGCCCAAAGTAATGTCTCCTGATCTCCTGAATTCTAGTATCAAGGGTGTTGATTGTGGATCCATGTATGATGAAATCATTGACAGTTTCACTTTTTTCTCTCTATGTCATGAAGTTGCTTATCAGTCCAGTGGTAAGGATTTTGTCTTTTTGATGTTGAGATGCAATCCATATTAAAGGCTGTAATCTTTGATCTTCTTCAGCAAGTGCTTCTAGGTCTCAATTTTAGCAAGGTCATTTCATCTGCATAATGTAGGTTGTTTATAGGTCTTCCTCCAATCCTGATGCCAGTCTTCTTCATAGAGTTCAGCTTCTCGAACGATTTGCTCATCAAACAGATTGAACTAGTATGTAGAGAGGATACAACCCTGAATGGCTTCATTGTCTAGACATAGCTTCCATCTGAGCATAATTAACTTTTCCAGGATTTTCCATTTTTCTCAATGTTGGCATAGTTTGTTATGATCCACACAGTCAAATGTCATTGCATAGTCAATGAAACACAGATAGACATTCTTCTGGTATCCTTTGCTTTCAGTCAGGATCAATCTGGCATCAGCAATGATATCTCTGGTGCTACGGCCTCTTCTAAATCAAGCCTGAACTTTGGGCAGTTCTCTGACAATGTACTGTTTTTGGATCATCTTCAGCAATATTTTGCTTGTATCAGATATCAGTGATTTTGTTTAATTATTTTCACATTCACTGGAGTACCATTCTTGGGAATGGAACATAGATCTCTTCCAGTCAGCTAGCCATGCAGCTGTCCTTTAAAATTTCCAGGCACAGACTGATAAGAATGTCCTGGGCACAATCTGCTGGCTAAAACACGTTAATTGGTATTAAATCAATTTATGGGGTCTTATTTTTGGCCAATGCCTTCAGTACAGCTAGAATTTCATCCTTCATTACCTATTGGTTCTCGTTCATATATACAGAGACTTTATTTTTTTCCTTTTCCTTTTGATATTTCCTAGGTCATACAAAATTTTGCCCATAGTATCTCTCAGTATTGTAGTGCAAGGCTTGAATTTGCTTTTAAGTTTTTTCAACATTAGAATTGCTGAGTGAGTTCTTCTCTTGTTATTCTCCTACTCTAGTTCTTTGCATATTCCATTGTAAGATTTTGCTATGTATTTTCAAGCTCACCTTTGAAATCTCCTATTCATCTCTTTGATTTTGATATTTCTTCCCTTTGTTTTGGTTTGTTTATAAAAAGTTGGAAACAAATTCCATTTGATCTAGCAATCTCACTGCTAGGTGTATATCTCAAAGAAATAAGAGTGGGGATATGCACACTCATATTCACTGGAGCATTATTTACAATAGCAAAAAGGTAGAAACAGCTAATGTATGTATCAACAGATGAACAGATAACCTCTGGTACATATATTCCATGGAATACTATAAAATGCTAAAGCACAATGTAGATGAGCTTGGAAGACAATATAATTGAAATAAGTCAATAACAAAAGAGCAAGTACTGTATTTAGTCCCTCATTATAAGAAGATGGTGAAGCTTCGTCTCATATTTGTGTGTCATCCTTACACAGGGGCCATGCTAATCTTCTGTATCATTCTAATTTTAGTAATGAGGATGGCACAGGATAGAATAAAGTTCAGATTCATTGTTCATAGGGTCACTGAGTCATAGTTAATTCTATGGCACATAACAGCAACAATAGGAGAAACAATACAATCAGAAGAAAAAGACCTTTTGGTAGCTACCAGGGATGAGAGGTGAAGGGAAGGGAAGGAAACTCATAACTGACAACAGACACATATTAAGTTTGGTGAAGGTAAAGACTATATGCTAAAATATATGCAGTGATGAAAATGCTTAAGATTTCATTATAGTAATGATCCCATCAGCCTATAAATATCCTAAAAATTATTATATTACATACTTTAAAGAGATGAACTGTATAGTATATCAATTATATCTCAACAAAATTGTTACAAAAAAAAGAAGTATGTCTAAATATAATGTACACATTAAAAAGATTTTTTATTATGATCAGGTACAGGAACTATACCTGTTATGATTAATTTTATATATCCATTTGCTTGGTGGTTTGTAAAAAGAACTAGAGTAGTTGCTGTTCCACAAGGTAATGTAATGAAATATAATCAATCACCTTCCATAATGCAAACTGATGTAACCAATTGACCTGTTGATAAGAGATTATTCCTAGAGTATGGTCTGCATCCTCAAAATTGTGATGTTGGCAGAACTCTTAACTTTCTCTTTTCTCATTGCCTGACCTGTGGATAACGGGATGAAAGCCTGCACAATTCTTTAACATCCTGTCTAACCTACAGATTTTGGGCTTGCTAGCCCCTAAAATTACATGAAACATTTTCTTGAGAAAATTAATCTCTTTCTCTCTAACAATAAATAAAAAGTCAACTCACTGCCATCAAGACAGAACCAACACATAGTTTACCCTCCACTGAGTTTCAAAGGCCTAAAATCAGACACGAGGAGATTGTCTGTCTTTATCTCATGGAGCTGCTGGTAGATCTGAATGAACCTTCAGAGAAGCACAGTGCTTTAATCTGCAACACAACTACCTACATATTGTGACACTAGAGCTCAAAGAGACAGACAAGAAATACATAAATCTCACTGTTTTCTGTTTCTCTGGAGAATCTGAAGACAAAAAATTTGAGACAGAAAAGAAAACTATTCATAACAAAAAATGGTTTTCTTGTATAACTATTCATGAAAGATGAAAAGTAAAAGTCAGATTAGTTATTGCCATTTCAAACAACAATTGAAGTAACCATTTCCAATTCAACCAGGTCAATTACCTCATCTAGCTGGTGATGCTTTAACAAAAACACAAGCTATATTTAACCCCCTAATGTGTGCTTGTTTGTCTGAGTCTAATCTGGTTTTTTGGTTTTTGGTGTTGGGGGTTTTTTTTGTATTTTAAAAGTGATCAGGCTAAAGACACATAATATCCCAAAGTGGTTTCAAAAACACAAAAAAGAAAATTATTTCCAAGAGAGATCACAGTTACAGGCATCATGGATAGGATTCTAACACAGATTTTAGGACATAAATTTAATCCATAAATCCAACATTTCAGTGGAAACAGTTTAATAATATTTTCTTTAAGGGAGAAATAGTACTGTTAAATGAGTCCTGAGAGTTATTGCCTTACTTGTTTATATTCTGTGGATTTAAGTAAACGTTCTAACACTTGCTTTGCTCGTTTAAAAGTATTTACTTCTTTTGTTAGTATTTCCTTCTGCTTAGAAATTTTCTTCAAATCCAATGCAGAAAGATTTGCCTGATAAAATATAAGAACAAGGTACATATTTTAAGACACAACATTAAGGTGCAATATTATCAAAGAACTACCTTTCCTAACAACAAACTCACCCTGTTATACAAGATGGTAATAAAATTTTCAAAGAGTAATAATAATAAAGAGGATCACAAAGCATATTAAAGTAAAATGAAATAAACTTATCTCTAGGCTTTACACTTTAAAAGTACTTTACGATATATTTATTTAATGAAATCAGATTCTACAATCCATTTTTTGCCACAAACTCAAGTTTTACTATGCTGAAATTTTAGAATATAGAATTTTCTTTTTGACATAAAACTATAGAAGATAAATGCATTTCCACTTTCAAAAAACTTGACTCTCTCGTTCAATTCTGGTTAGTCAGGCATCAACGAAGACAGACAGTTTCTAATTTAACTTTTTGCAGGGGCCTCCCTGAGATGAACTTTTCACAAGAGTGGCGGTACAAAACCCTACTTCGTGGTATTAGATATTAGTATGTAAGCACAGATATGAGATTTCAGTAAGTATTCTAATTATTATACTAGTATTTCATTTTACTAAATATTCACAAGTGAAATACTTACATTTTCAAAACTCATCTTTTCAATGGCATCCTTATACAATGGCAGAAGAAGTTCCACTGAACAAGATGCCATCTCAGCTTCTTCAAGTGCTGCTTCAAGTTCAGTCTTTTCATTTAGAGCGTTATGCTGTGGACTAATTACATATGGAAAAGCAAAATTAAAATTGAATTTGTCATGTTAATTGTTACACATTTAAGCAAATATAGCAAACTCACTGTCCTCAAATTCTGACTTACAATGACTGGTTGTTAACCTCATGGTTGTTTTGTTGAGTATTTGTTGTTGTTGAGTATTGTTGAGTCGGAACTGACCTTTAGATGACCCTCCGGAGGAATATCAGACACAGGTAATTACACGGGAGGAGACTGTCCATCTTTCTCCTGAGGAGCAACTGGTGGTTTTCAAGAGCAATCTCTAACTTTCTGCAAGCAAACATCTCAGGTTTTCCTTAGTTTCAGTAAGCTTAACAGGTAATTACTGAATATTCTATTTCTGATTTTTCAAATATATGTCAGTCTTTTCTTCTATCTTCCCTGCTCCCCTTACTCCAAATCCAAAAGAATTTTTTCTGGAACCTATTTTCAAATTTTTATTGAAACTTAATTTTCTTTACAAAAGCTTCTTCCAGAAGAAAACCTTTAAAAATAAATAACCTTGGGTGGGAGGAGCAGCGACCTTTACCCCGCACCCTTGGGCCAGGAGTTAAAAAAACACAACAACAAAAACCACATAGACCAAATTATAGTATTTATCAACCTCCCCTGAAAAAGTTGTCTAACATTGAAGATTTAGTTTCTTTGGACTACAAACTGCTTTTTGGCCCTACCACATTGGTCCCACTAACTCAAGCAACAGGGAGGTCCTGGACATCTCGATAGAGGAACAGTGACATAAAACCAAGAACCAACTATCACCTTAGTTTTAAAAAACTTTTCCACGTTAATGTCTCCAAAGAAGCAGGGTACCTCACTCACCATGCAAGCCAAAAACAATATATCTCCCGCCAAAAATGACACAGTAGCAATGGATTTCATGAAGCCAGAAAGTTGGAGCTTTCTGATGCAGAATTTAAAAAAAAAATGATTGCATATTTTCAATGGATGAAAAACAAACTTGAAGAATTACAGGATACTACAGAAAAAAATCAGGAGGAGCTATAAAAAACAATCCAAAACAATGCAGAGAAAACAAACGAGGCATGAGAGGCACTGGAAAAACAAGAAACCATGGTCCAAAATATGAAATCTAAGATTTCTGAAGCTGTCAACATGATGGAGGGACATACAAATAAAGGTGAAGAGATGGAAAACAGAATCAGTGAAATAGAAGACAGAATTGTCACCATAGGTCTGAGAAAAAAGCAGAATCAAAAAAGAAGGAAACAGAAGAAAACTTAAGAATAATGTGGGATACCACAGAAGTTCTACAGGACACGTCACCTTCCCTTGGAGACAGCACAACTTAACTTAAGAGACACTGGTCAAAAGAAAAATGTCAGCAGTTTTTGGAATCACAGAAGCCAAGAAAGCTTAAGATACAAACTGTCAGATCATGGGTTGGACAATGGAAGATATTTTCTGAAGGGACTTG